ATTATCTGAATCTGTGGGCAAGAGGAAGAGCCCAATCCACATTATCGGTCGTGATTCGCCTGGATCCCGCAGATAAGACGAGTCGTGAGGATGAGGAGCTTGAACTGTGCCGCGTGATGAATCGATTTCCCTCCACGGGGGGTGGTAAACACTTCACACATCCTGGAGGGAAGCGAAGCTGAATCAACTGTGGCTGAGCTTCAGGCTGGCGGTCACATTACGGTCGTTAGCGTGCCGGTGTCACAACGGAGCCACCCGCGGACCTGCGATAACGAAACTAAGAAAGCAAAACTTTTAACCGCACTCACAGTTTCTGTTTGGGTTGTTTTTTGCACTCCCCAAATTAACTCGCGCATTCGGGCGCGCTCGCACGAAGTGAACATTCAGCAGCACTAAGTGCTGGCCCCTCTTGGCCCAGCAAACAATGAGGAGTCGTGTAATCCCCTCCCCGTGCAGATCTGGCCAGCAGATACAAGAGCAGGCGCCGCGGGTGTGTGAGACCCTCCGGGATTCGCGAGGTTAAAAAGGGATTTCTCAACAAAAAAACCGCGCGGACGACCCCGTGGGTTGTGGGCGCAGGCTGCCGGCGGCCGAGGAGAGCCGCCGCCTAATGGGGTGAAGAAACTCTCGCTTGGCCACGTTTGCCGCTCACAAACGCCTCTCTCCCTGCGGCCGCCTTAAGCCCTGGGAACACGGAGCCATTTTTTTGCAACATTAGTGGCTCCAAAACCTCTTCCCGGAGACCAGGTAATCGGGTCTCTGGCTGTTTTGTGAATCAAAACAAGTTTGCCTTTTAGTGGCGTCACCGGGCAGCATGTTTTGGTTTTTAATCAAAGCATCGGGCCGGCTGCTGATAGAAAAGGCTCCTTCAAATGCAGCGCTTTCTGTAAGTGATGAGAAAAGCCATCAAAACACATTTTTCTGTACCTAGAAAAGGATTATGCAGCACAATGCATACATTTAGCAATTTATGTTGGCAAATGCTGATTTATGTAGTAGTAGTAAAATAATAACTTGAAAAAATGCGCTCTATTTTTTCAGGAAAGCCTCTTGGAGGCTCTTTCATGAGGGTCTTGCAGTGGATGGCAGTAGAGGAAGATGGTTCCTCACCCCATATGTGTGGATATTTGGTGCATCATCCCCTCGTATTTTTTTTCCCTCGGTGCTCAAGTTTCCTTGCACATGCAACAATTACTCGACACGGTATTAGACAGAAATCACCAGTGTGGGGGCCATCATGGAAACAAATCTTCAGAATCAGCGAAGCTTTCCCAAATAAACAAAATACATTATTATTAATATCACAAGTCTCAAGGTCCGTGTTTATGTTGCCTTGCATTGAATTACAATCCGTGGATCTCGGTCATGGGATAAGCCGCGTAGAAGCCGGGCCATTGTAACCGATCTCTTTTCTCCTCTCCCCCGGTCCCCAGTGACGCTTTGTGTCGCATTGGCGGAGGCCATTATTGAGCAGCTTATTGTGTGAGGCCTGCGCTCCATCCCGACTGTTGAGCGAGAGTGGACGGAGCCATAGTCGTCAAAGTCCCTGCTGCTGCTGCTGCTGCTGCTACGAGGCCGATTTGCAGCTGCCTCCTCTCTGCTGTCCAAGATGGGCCAGGGTTCTCAACCGGTCTCATCGTTGAAGTTTTATGGCATCTGCCGATGGGCCCACAATGCAATGGTGCTTCCTGCACTGCCGCTTGGGCTGCCAGAGCCTCATTCAACCTCAGCAAAAGTATTTTCCCTGGTTTTAGGAGGGAAAAAACATTTCTCTGTTTCGTGTGATTTTTGTTATTGATGCAAAAGTTAAATTGATTTAACACGTTTGCTAAGACTCCTGATGTTTTGTTACAAATACTAATTTATTTTGATATTTGGTAGGAAAAAAACGATACTTTTCCCAATTATTTGGCATTTTTGTTCACCAAATATGGCAGAAAATCAGTTTCTGCGATCATGTGAGAGTTATTTTAGTTGGAGTGGTCACCTTGTGGGAAGCTCCGTGGGTGACGGTCATTCTCAGGATATCTGCTTGTCGTCCCGGCGCACAGTAACCACGGTGCACCGTAACCATGGTGCCACCGGGTAGAATGCCACGAGTGCAGTCGCGGAGTAAGTAGGCCTCCCAATATGCACCGTGGCTGGCACGGGGCTCCGAAGCTGCAGGCGGTGGAAGAGCCACCGCCACGCGCGGCGCCGACAGCGAGAGGCGGACGGCACGCAGATAAGCGAGGCGGACGCTCCGGTGGGCCCCGGAGGGTCGGAGGCCGCGCGGTGGCGGTGGCGAACGGGGAGGGGGGGGGTGCAGCGGAGCGAGGTGGGATTGCTGATGCGGTATCGCGGAGGTTGGGTCGGAACCAAAACTGCAAGAAAATCGGATCACGTTAACCTCTGCTCCCGTGGAGCCGCGCGAGGGATGTGAGACGCGCACCTAGTCCGGCTCCGCGCGCGCCTTCTCCCCGCTAATCCTTCCTGCCTCTAATCGCCGCGACGGAGCCTAATCCACGCTGCGGAAGCCGCCCGCCCGCGCGCCCGCGGCCCACCTCCTCGAGCTGCCGCCCGTTCATATTTAAAATATGCGCCGCATGTCGGCGGCTCTTTGACGTCGCGTTTCTCCCTGAGCCATCCGTTATGGAATTATGGGAAACGTAACGACGACGGGTTAAAACGGCTCCTCTCGTCTCTCCTCGTCGCGTCTCGCTCGCGTCGCCCGCCGCCGACTTTGATGGCCGAGCGGTTCCCCCGCGCCACGTCTCGGTGCCTTCGTTCACACCGGCACTCTTCGTTGCGAGCGTTTATTTCGTGAGAGCGTTTGCCGTGGCCGGCCTACGAATCGCAATAAAAGTGCGCACGTTATTTCCTGAGCACGACACAAATGGGCTCGAGCACTTACGGTGCGGCAATCGGCCTTTGCGATCACCGACACTCGATATGCCGGCCCCCTTATTTTGCAGTAACGCTTTAAATCAGTGCTTGTAACTCATTAGTCAGCCGATCACTTTTATTTCAAACCACTTAAAGTCCAGATTGGGGAGGCTGAGGCTTCGGAGGTAAATAAAGCATGTCGTTTTTTGTGCTTGAGGAGTTGAGCGTGGTTAGTGCTGCTTTCTGAAAAAAAATAAGAAAGGCTGCCCTCTGTGTTGGTGGAGGAGTCCCCGGGGAGGAGCGACCTCCGGGGCTGTGGCGGCAAGGGGGGTCCCCCCCCCTGTGGGTTTCCGCGGAATGCTAGCTGCCCCGGCAGATGTGACTGAAAAGGGAATGCATGCCCGGGGAAAGCCAGATCCGATTAACATCGGGGCAGAGCGAATAAACGAGCACGCCGTGGGCAATGAGCCATCCTGAGCCGATATGCCGTTCTCTCATTAGTGTTAGGGCCGCCGAAACATTAGCCTGATTGTGTAAAATTACGATTTGCAGGAAGGCAATTAGCCGTAACGTCCGCAAACCAGGCAGCCCGAGCTGAGCTGCATTTATCCGATAGTCTGCGTCGCAGCCGATTTTCTCGAACGGAGGACACTTGCCCTATTTCCACGGCACTCCGCTGGAAGGCCGTTTGTAGTTTAACTTCTTTAGTGGCAGCAGCATCTCATTTGCCAGCAAAGGCAATGTTCATTACTGCCATAGGTCAATTATCCAAGATATTGGAATTAAAACAAGACGCACCGATTATCAATCATCGTTCTGCGGTCATCAGTCATTGGCCATCGATACGGTGCCATCAATCGCCCGTCATCAATCACACACGCGGCCATCATCGTCCTCGCTGCTCGTCAGCCCGGCCTGAGAAGCGGTGCCGCTAATGCAGTGCAGGCTGCGTGGAGGCCTCGCCCGGCAGGGATCCGAGCCTTGTTAACTCGCCGGGCGCCGTGGTTATGTTACGGACAGGGGTGCGAGCGGGGGAGACAAAGCGGCGGCACCGCATGTTTGCCGTTGCGGCGTGACTGGCCCGGATTTACAGAGTCATTTTCAAGGCCAATAAAGGACCACTTTATAAATGTTTATAGGAGCCTCCTACGAGCCACGCAAGGACGACAAGATCCCATTTTTACGACGTGTCTAATCTGCGCACCGTTTATGGATTATGCATATATAGCTGCCTTAAACTGGAAAAAATGCCTGTGTGGGTTATTGTACGTTCAAAGGATTATGAAAACATGTTTATGTCAAAATACGCAGCATGTCACAAAGAGGCCGTTTGGAATCAATTGGCTGAAAGAGAGGTAAAACAAAAAGAGGGATCCGTTTTGGGCACACACGCACACGCGTATTGGGAAAGATCTGACGTGCAGTTGTTGTTTTTTTTCCTAAAGTAATCCCCTCAGAGGCGAAAACAGAACCAACTTGACCAATGGTGTGGGTTCAGTCGTCGTGTTTTTCACCCACGTGAACCTTTCCATTTTTTAACGCTGCTCATATTTCTGACTTGTTATTGTCCACTAACGGGCAGGCGAATGAAACACATTCGATGCGGCACACGAGAGCGGTGTTTATGAAATGGAGAGACGTTCGGCAGCTGCTTCTGAGGGCGCTTTGACACTGAGTGAGGTCATAGCTGCCCGGCGTCTTTCCCTCCGTGTCACCGCCAGCGGCCGTGCAACTCCCCGCGTTGATGCTCTCCCTTGCGCGCACGCGGTCCACTTGGGGTTGGTGACCCCACGGGGAGCCGCCCACGCCCCGCACGCTGGAACATTTCCCCCCTCCGTGCCTCATGAGTAGCTGCTGCGGGGTGGTAGCATCGCCACTGGGGAGACAAAGGTGGTCGGGCGTGGCGCTGGCCACCCACCGCTCGTGTGTCGTGCCGGCCTTCATCGGTGCTCGCTAACAGCACTTGCCCTAAGAGTCGGTTGAAGGCTATATGAGGGATCGCTGTAGTACGGAGGAAAGGGAAAGTAAGGCTTATGATCCACACACCTGGAGGAGACGGCTGAATGCACTCTTGCGCTCTTTGGTTGCACATCGAGTGCCGGGTGTGATCGGCGTGCGCCGTGTCTCCGTTGCAGGCCTGTCGGAGGTGGAGGTGGAGGCGGTGAGCGAGGAGGTGCGGGTGGGCGAGGTGGCTCGGCTGGAGTGTCGCGTGAGCGGCCGCCCCGAGCCGCTCATCGCGTGGGAGCGAGATGGCACGGCGCTCCCAGCTGACAGCCCACGGTACAGGCCAGCGCACGGCCTCACGCACGCACGCGCACACATCGCACACGCGTGACACAGCCCTTACACAAGCACACACACCTGACGTACGTGGCACAGCTCAACACGAGCTCTACACACGCACGCCTCTCACTCATATTTGCACGGTACAGCCAACACGCGCAGCCCTCAACACACACCCACACACGCAACTTGAGTTCCTGCAGAATTTCACTTCCTGAAGAAGCTTCCGTGAAACGTTGGACATCGTGCCAAACAACGCACAGTACTCCCCAAGAACTCTTCGGAGAGCTACACAGCACGACTTGTCATATTATTTATATTCATGCTGCATTTTTCCAATTATATTCTCATTCTCTAGCATTCATGGAAGATAGTTCTGAATTCTGACTCCTCCAACGTGAAATTGCGAGAAATAAGGCTCACAATAAAACGCCGGTGCCGAACAAGTTCAAGCTAAATCTTTTATGCGGAGCTCCCTGCTTGAGTTGGATGTTGAACGAGCTTCTTTATTGCCGCTGCGCCTTCGTGGTGTGCACAAAGCTCCCAAAATGCATCACTCTGAAGGCAATGCGTGTTGGAGCACGCATCGAGCTGAAGAAATCATCCATTTGGGTTCACGGATTGGCCAGCGGTTAAAAAAACGTGTGGCTGCAGGCCAACGCGAGAGACTAACGCTCGTAACCGTATCGATTTGCTTAATGATTTGTTGAAAAATGCACGTGGCAACCGGCGTGTTGGCGTCGGTAAATCCGGTGCGAGGGGAAGTGCGTTGGCGTGGCCGGCGCGGCCTGCCGAGGAGCGTGCGTCACGAGATGCCCCCGGGGCTCCGGCCACTGCCTCGCTCCCTCCCTCCTGCTCCTGCTGCCCCCCATTTCTCCGCGGGGTCAATGCTTCTAGCGCGGCTCAAGATGCCGCACCACGGCCGCAATGTGGGCCCTTCTCGACCAGGCCCGACACACGAGCCGAGTCTGCGGAGAGGGCAGACAAATGCCTCGTCCGCTCGTTCGCTCCGGCGGTCTGATGAGTTTAGCGAAATGGACTTGGACGGAATGAATGACTACCGTAACATATTTTATTCAGCGGCCTTGCTTCATAACCGTGAGGGTCCCTTAATTTAATTTTATGTTTCGTTTGGGCAGTACTGTACGGCGGAATAGTCAAACTATTTTTAGAGATGGCCGTGAAGTTATACGAAGCCGATCAAAACATTCACTTGGTGGTTCTTTCAACGCTGGCTGAGTGTGTGCGCGATTTTGATAGATAACCAAAAAACCCCAACCTCTTACTAAAATACTAACATTAATATCATGAATAAAAGTACGTATATTAAACCTGTCTTGCACCGCACATAGGCACACTGTGCTAATTGGAGGTGTGGGGGAAGGACAATAACTAAACACAAAAAGCAGTTCTACAGAAATGAGTTTTCAATTTAGATTTAAAAGTGCGTAGCTTCAGTGACTTCCTAATATCAGAAGGAAGAGCCAGAAAAGCGCATCTGAAAGCGCGCAATGCGTCGAAAAGTACAACTGCAACATAAGTAAACGGCTGTGTTTATAGCGCGCACACACACACACATAGTGCATTGTATATGAATAATGGCGCCGCTGCCACCGCTGCCACCGCCGCGCATTCTCAATCCGCCTCGTCACCAGGAGGCTCAGCCCCGTTGTCGGCAAAGTACGGGACGGGGAGTGCAAGGTGACTTAAAGTTAGGGCACCGCAGGTGGGGCAACCCAATTGCTAAAGTGCACCTCTGATTTTGAACGCGAGTGTGGAGCGTTTAGCGAGATGCCCCGAGTGTTGCATTTGCCTGTAGCAGTCTGCTGGGCTTTGCGTGGCTGGATGGTTAACACGGTTTGCGGGCGTGAGGTCACGCACCCCCATTTAGACATTCACGTGTAGCCGAGCTCGAGATTGGGCAGATGTAGACTGTGTATGATGGATTAGCAGCTGAGAGGCTCTGGTTGTGGCGTAGAATAAATGTGACTTATGAATGAGGAGTAGCGTTTGGGCCGTGCACGAGCTCTGTGTGTAACCCGTGTGGGTGTCCTGCGCTTGGAGAGCGATTCGGCCTCGCGACGTTGCCAGTTCAAATCCCGATCAGCGGCTGACACCCCATCGTCCATATGGGGGTCAATCAAATGAGTACCACATTGTGGCGTTAAGCCGACATGCGTTGTTGCCTTTTGAAGTCGCTGGCCACTGCCATATGAATGTGATATTTGTACCACTGAACAGGAGGGCGCTTTAATGTGTTGGCTATGTTTGATTGCCATGCCGTTCTAAGGGAGGCAATGTAAATTATCCATGAGATGGGAAACACGCATGGCAGAGACAAGTTTCCTAAATGCCTTTAATACACCCACAGGGCATGTTTATTTTCACTGTGCGAGAAGTGGATCGCATATCCAAAGGGTTTCATGGGTGAATTATGGTGCCGCAGTTTCTTCAAGATGTATATGGGTCGCTGTGCTTTGAGTTGCTGCGAATCGGAACGTACCTTCTGGTCACTGCGTAAGGGAGTCCACCGAATTTAAAACTCTGTGTTTTAAAAGAACCCGGAATGTAGTTTACCAAAGCTCGTTGTCTGCCACCTATGCTGTTAGCCGGCGAATTAATTTACCACAGCACAGCAAGGAGCGTATAAATGACGTAGTCTATATGCATTTGCTATGAGTCATACGATCTTTCAGGGCTTTGTTTTTAATTTGCTCTGGCCTGTCAGGCTTTAGCAAGGGGAGTCAGGGCTCGGTGCAAGTCAGAGTTGCTGGGCGGTGAGGACGAGAGGGCTGGGTGGGACGTGGGGGACGGCGAAGTAGGAAAGGCCTGGGCAGCGAGACCGCTGTCGACACGTGGAATGTGCACGCGGCGACGGCTCACACGGCACAGCGAAGCGGCAGCGCCCCGTCACGAATCCCGGGCTTAGCGTTCCACAGCACTCGTGCACGCTCGTGGCCGCAGCAGTGGCAGTGCTAGCGAGCTCACCTACCCAACCATGGCCAGGCTACCCGGCCATTGCCTGTACATCTACACCGCTGTGTCAGGGCAGAGCAGCACTTGACTCGCAGTCAGAAGGCGATGGGTTCTAATTCCATTCGGGGGTCATTGTTTCAGGGTAATAATTCATCAGTGGTCAGCAACACTGATGCAGTACACTTCTACTTTGTGGAAATACGACAGTGGTTTTCCAAAGGTTAGGCTGATCTCCTTTATGGAAATATGGAGTTTCCACCGTTGGCTCATTATTCCAACGCTTGTTGGAACGCTGGAACCCTTTGATTTGATTGAAGCTGAGATTACAACCTGTGAAAGTGACTTTGAAGCAGCTCTTTGTGTGGCTCTTGATGTCAGATGTCTCCTTGCGTCCGAGGAGCGTGTGCTGATGCGCACCGTGTAGCATCCTCGCTGCAGATTTGTTGAGGTTTTGAGCAGGCTCTTTGTCATTTCACAACTCGAGTGAAGTTCCATTGAGTAAATAAATAATCAAAGTTGCACACCTTTTGGTTGAGTGGGGGGGGGTGTGTTAATAGGTGTAATCACTGGGGAGTGTGGTGGGCGCAGCGATATCTTTAAGTGGAGAGAGCCACTCACGAACTCCCCGGTGCAGTGAAACGACTGCGAGCAGGCCTGCATCCTTAAGGGGATTCATGCTGACCTGCCGATCTGGGCGGCTGATATTGTGCTAAAAGTTAAGAATAAACAAGCCCTCATTGGTGGCAACAATGAGAAAAGACCGCGTTCCCATCATCCAACACATTTTCATAAAACCGGCGCCTGTTAGTGTAGCCTCCATGCAATTTGAGAGGCACTCTGTGGCTGCTTTGGGATAAAAGCCTGCCTTGAGGTCTGCCCTGCCACAAGGCGGGTTTAGGGTTGTTTGTTGATGTAAGGGGACCCTAATCCCGAGGTGATTGCTCTCTCCCGGCCACTACTCACGCACGGCTGAGCGGGGGGCTCGCCCCAAGCCGGAGTCCGCTGCCCAGCGAGGGGGGCGGCCAGGCCGGGGATCGGAGCCGCTGCCCTGGCGGCTCTCTTGACTCCGCGCAGCGCTGCCCTCACCGCCGCTGAATAAACAAGGGGCGTGCGAGAGCATGCACGCTGGCCATTTCACTTTCAAGACGGTGCCAGTGATTAATGTTTATGTCAGCGATTCCAAGTTACGCTTCTTTACAAACCCGTGTGTGTTTTTACAAGTCGCTCATCTGTCAAGTATTGTGAATGACATGAAGTGCAATAATAAGTGGATAAGTAACGCCAAACACCGCCAAAACATAGGGGACTGCACTGGCAGTGGTCTCGAGGCACGTAGCCCAAACTGTGCACGCTGTGAAAGCAGCAAGAGAGGAGAGGTAATAATACAGCGTAAAGTACACCAGTGGGTGAGGTTTTCTCAGTTGCTGTAATGTTGTTCTTTATCTTGTTTCATCTTTGTTGCAAGGTGACATGAGATTTGTTCAAACGCTTTATCTTTGTTGCAAGGTGACATGAGATTTGTTCAAACGCTTTTACGTCAAGCACAACGCACGTAGGTACGTGACTTTACCGAAAGAACCAAAGAGTATGGATTCCTGCAGTCACGAAAGCTTCAAATCAAGATCGCTTTACCGTTGTTTATCAACTGAGCTACGTGTTGCAGCTAATATTTTTACCAAAAAAACCTGCATTCGTGAATAACCTTTGAGATTGTTTGGTCATATAGAGACGTGTGAGCGCCATTTTGTCGTCCTTCACAGGCACACGCTGCTGCCCAGCGGAGTGCTCCAGATCAGCGCCATGCGCAGCGAGGATGCTGGGAAATACCGTTGCCAGGCGACCAACATGGCGGCCACGCGGTACAGCCGGGAGGTCGAGGTCTCCGTGCTGCCACAAGGTGGGACGGCGCTGGCGAGACTCGGTGGCCCGGTTCTCAATTCCCTTGCGCTGCCGCAGTTGGGAAGGGCTAAGACAACATCGTTGTCGGGGCTTTCAGTGGGGGGATTCTACTTCTCTGTGTTCTATCCTCTCTTTTTTGCATTGTATTACTTGTCTTTATTCTCCCTTGTACATTTTTTATGATCTAGCCCAGGGGTCGGCAACCAAAATAACAAGAAGAGCCATTTCTTTCCAATTCGGTACAAAATTCAGTATTTCAAGAGCCGCAATGCATCTGAGTACATACTGTACATACGTACATATCGTCAAGAAGCAGCCCGTAAAGAGCCGCATGCGGCTCCGGAGCCGTAGGTTGCCGACCCCTGATCTAGCCGGACCCACATTCTGGCAGAAGACTCGGCTCAACAACCGTGAGGTTAATTTCTGGCTGGTGGTCGTTCTTCCAAGTTTGGTAGAATGAGTACCACTTTTTTAATCTATACAGCTTCCGAATGCAAACGCATCCCAAGATGCTGAGCAAACAACATTAAAACTATAATTGGGTAGAAAGTACGCGGAAAGATGAGAGAGAGAGCGCAACAGTGTGGCACAACTCGGCACAGAGCAACCGCTGGGGCCCCGCAACAACAACAACAGCAGCAGGGACAGACAGCCGACCCAGCCAGGGAATCCATTGTTGTCCTGGGGATGGAATAGTCCTCGCAATAGAAATGTGGTATTTCCACCACCGAGTCAGGGCCGCCAACAGAAAAGAGAACTGTCCAACGCTCGCACGAGCACAGACGATGCTGATGTTTATTTTTCACTATTAAAGAAAAGCTTAGGTGTGACTTAAATCGAGGCCCTACAAAGAGCGGATTATGTCACACTCTGCCTGCTGTGGCTGCGTCTGTTTTCTTCTTCATCCATTTCTTGAGTCTTTTCTAATTCTACGTCAAGCGCAGCGCAGGGACCGTGCTGGAATTTTCGTTTGAACTGCGAGAGAACTTGTCGGGGCTGTGAGCGGTCACAGCTGTGATCGGAGGCAGCGCGACGCAACCCTCCACGTCCCGGCCGCGCTCTCCATGCCTCAGAGAAAACTCGACCCGCTGTGAAAAATTAAACCGCTAATTAGTAAAGAATAGTTATTCCATTCTTTCTACTTCCTTATTAATAATTCACAGGCTTCTGACTTCTAAAATGCTACACTTGGGGGTTTGGGCCTCTGTCAGTGGGCTTGTTACCGTTTAAATGTACGGTATGCGTACGCGCTTCCACAGAAACATTGCTTTACAAACAGCCCTTCGTTGCCAGCAGCCATGGGATATAATATAATGCTCATAAACAACGTGTTCAATACTTCAGCGGCCCAACACCCTGGTGATTATTCAGTCTTTCATTGAGTACTTGCGTGGGTCAAATAGGTAAGAAATAACCCATTGAGACTGCAAGTCTCTCTTGTTAAAGCGGGACCTGAGTTACAGAGCCAAGTGCTGGAATTGCATGACCATGAGAGTCAAGTGCAAATATAAAGCATATCATAACAATCAATGTCAATAAAAACAAAACACGAATTAAACATCAAAATCGGTGATCGTGAAATGATGTGAGGCGCTCAACACTTGGCAAGGAGCGAGAGAGATTGACTCCCGTGCTGGTAATTTCTGTGGGGCATTAAAGGGAGGGAGGGAGTCCGATGCAAATTGGATATTGAAGATTGTGCGACTCACAGCAGCTTACACCGTGTAAAGGCACAATGTGCAACTTACCAGAGTAAAGCCCTCCACGGTGCAAACACAAACATCGTGTCAAGCTTTCCCCTTGTAGCAATGTCTCTTTTGCAAACATCCTAATAATTAACTCATCACCTAGGTTTTATTGTTGTACAGCCAATGTTATAAATCAGTGTTTTGATTTTTAAGAGTTATGCCACTTTACATCAGGCCCCCAATACTAAACATAAATGCTGAATCATGATGACATATCTTAACGGTGCTCTCTCTTGGTTCAATAAAGGACTTTGCATCGGCTATGAATGAAGCCGTGCGTTTCCACGAGTGACAGCGTTGTTAAATGTTTTCACTCTGAGCTTTGGTGGCGAAGCGCCTCGAGATTGCGAGACACCAACACAGATGCGAGGAAACAGTTTGTCCAATGACATTCTGTGCCATCTGGTTTATTTATCGGCAGCTTTCGAGAATGAAATGAAATGTCTTGACAATTTTCCTCGGGGTCGGGCATGATTTTGTAGGATTTATCTTTTATAGATGGACTGGCTATGATATATCAATACTGTGAGATTTGTTGAATTTGCGAGGTATTTTTTGTTCGCAAAAGAAACCCCCTAGGGGTAAAAGCAATGGCTTAATATTTCTCGAGTTTTTCGTTGTTTATAAAAAAACACAAAAATGTAGAGTGGTGATTTGACCACAACGCTCATGTAAGATGTGCTTCACTAGAACCTTGGTAGATGAGATAATGACAAGAAACAGAACATATGATTGAGAAGGGCTGTTGTAATTGTCTAAAAGGGAATTGTGTGTACGTGTATGTGTGTGTGTACGTGTGTTTGTGTATGCAAAGCGGTGTGATGGTCGTTATCGCGCTGCACTGAAAACTCAGCATCTCAATTCCTGTTTCTGAATCTGGCGTTGGCCTCTTCAATGCACAATCGGAAGGTCACAAATTCAAAATCCCAGTCAGCGGTCGAATCAGTTCCTTCATTTATTTTGGGTCAATAAACCGGGTACCGATTTGTCACGCACAGAGGAATGTGAAATTTCCACCGCTGCCTCGCGGCGCCCGTTAATTCCCCGCTTGTGGTGCCCTTGGCCGCGTGCGCAGCTCTGCCGCTCGAGGGATACGAGAAGCCGAACATCACGCAGCGGCCGCGCAACGTGACGGTGGAGGCGGGCGGCACGGCGGTGCTGGAGTGCGTCGCTCAGGGACGCCCCCGCCCCATCGTCTCCTGGAGTCGCCTCGGTAAGAGCCCCCACCCCTGCCCCCCCCCCCCCCCCCCCCCCGCTTGACACCACCACCACCCACTTTATTTTTGCACGGGAACACGTGCGTCACTTGGAGAGCGAGCGCCCGGCGCGCGATTAACGCTCGCAGAAATAGAGGCGTGCGTCACTCGGCCAGGCCCGGGCCTGTGCCCCGGCATAACACCGTGGTGGTGTTTATAAATAGAGCGAGAACGCTTCTTCACTTGAGACGGGCGCTCTGCCCAACACCTACCGCGCCACTGCACTGCGTCACCTCTGGCCGCGAGCGTATTATACAAGCGGACACATCTTTTAAATTAATATCAAACCCGTGTCACCTTGCAACGTTAATAATATTGCTGCTCGGAGAATCGTTTTCCACCGTTTAGTTCTCCGTGCACCGATAGAGAACCATGAGAATGTGGAATTATCGCCACCGCCTCAGAGGGCCACCAGTTGAGATGCGTGTTGCCCTCCCACCCTCTCTCGCTTGCCTTCATTACCCCTGGCCACTGAAGGAACGTGAAGACCTATAACTCACTAAAAGCACTTGTGAGATCCCCACCTCTCTCTTCCCAGTTCAGAGTCAGAATCAAAATATTTTATTTAAACTGGAGGAGTTCGATAAGCTGTAAAGCTCTTTTATCACAGACATCCAGTCGGGGCGGGTCAGAACGTTACAACAAGTAATACAAAAACACGAACGGAGTGGGCAAGGTGAGTTTCAGGTGACTTGAGCTGGTGGCTCCACTGATAAGCGGAAGGCCAGGAAAGTGCGTGTCACTGCACCCAGTCCTGGCCTCTCACCACATCCGGCTCCCCTGGGAAGCAGCACAGACTGCACGCGATCACGTGCCGGTCAAGTTGCTGATGAAGCCACTTAATGAGTCCACCTACACCGGGGAGCACTAGGTGGACTTTCTTTTTTTGCCTCCTCAAACTATGGGTCACAAGTTCCCACTGAGCATCATCATCAGGGTGCTGGAGCGCGCGGTGCCTCTGCTCCTATCTCAAGAAGCCAGAGTGATGGGGCGTTGGTGGTGACGGGCGTTGGTGGTGACGGGAACGGAGTGAGCGAGGTTATCGCTGCATCAACTTGTAGACAGTGAGTTAGTGTGGCGGCAATAAAGGAATAGTTCCAAATAGACCTGATTTTCAGATATTGAGTAGTTCATGGTTGCCTATGACTTTAGCTCTAATCAGATGGTGGTAAGTGTTAATAGCCTTCTGAAGGTGTCTGTGTGTATGGACATGTATGTGTATACATATATATGCATATGTATGGGGAGCGGTGATGTAGTACATAGCGCACTGCTCTGTGAACCTGGCGAGCTGAGTTTCATTCCGGGCATGGCTAATATCAGTGATGAATATCTGAAGTGGCATCCCCTAGGTCGACTTAGCCCTAAAATGTACCTAGTGCACTGTAATATCACCACTGGGGAAACAAAGGCAGGCGGGCATGGTGCTAGCCACACCACCCGATTGTGTGCCATGTTCACTTACAGCACGTGTATGTAGGATACTGGGGACCTTCATCACGTGCTTGTGTGCATCTGTGCATTCATGTGCTTGTCTCTGTGTGTGCCTGTGTGTGTGCGTGTCTGTGCGTGTGTGCGTGTCTGTGTGTGTGCACGTGTCTGTGTATCTGCGCGTGTCTGTGTGTGTGCGCGTCCATCCACGGGGGCACTGCAGACCAGCAGCCCCTGGACGTGTACCACTCGCAGGTGCTGGGCTCCGGCAACCTCCTCCTGGCCGACGTGCAGCCGCACCACGCCGGCGTGTACGTGTGCCGCGCCTCCGTGCCGGGCACCCGCAACTTCACCACGGCCACGGGGCAGCTCACCGTGCTCGGTGAGTCTCTTCTCCTCCGCGCCAGGCCTTGGCTCCACCGCCCCCCTGAGCCCGTCCCGGTGTCGCCAGTGTGGAACCTCCCGGCGTGGGGTCCCCGGCTTGTCGCTTTACAGATGCCGGAGTCCGTTCCTGGGTGATTGCGGCACCGTAGGGGCTGTCCTGCTAACGCTGGCTTGAGACGGTGCCTCTAAGTGCCCCAGCAGTTCACAAACACGAGCACCCGACCGTAGTCTATGTGTCTATTTGTACTGCCCAATAATTGTACTGCTCGTGCTGTTTAAATCATCATTGTCAGCCAACGTACAATCCGCTGCTGGGTGAGGGTCCAGCCAAGCCGCCGCCATCTCTCACGATCTCTACGCTGCAATACTCCACGTGCCACCCACACACAAGCATCGTTGCTATTAAACTTTAAGAAGAAATCCGTGCCAAATATAGTTTTTAAAGCTATATTTGGCACGAGGTCATCATCAACACAACAGTCTGAAGAAAACCCCAGATGAACACTGAGACCTTTGGCCCCAGTATGGGGCCCTCCCATAACTCAGTGGATATCAACGGCTCCTCTCAACGTCGTCTGACCCTGGCACAATGGCCTCCTCTTAGCGGAGGACGTCGTGGGACCGCTTGTGTCCGCACACCTTGGCGGACGGCACGCTTACTTGACTGTTTCACGCTGATGCTTTCTTTGGGGGCCGTCAGTAGAGTGTTCGCAAAACTCCCCCAAACAAAGAAGCGACTGAAATCACCGCTGTAACGTTGAAACGTAAGTGAGATGGATTTGGCCGTAGCATGTTTTTTTCACGGGCGTAACCTTTACCGCTGTTGCTGTTAATCCTTCTGGACCACGTCTGCCTCGCTAAAAGACATTTTTATCTCGCCGGTCCCTTAACTGGCGAAGGAAAGCGGTTTCTTTACAGTGTTAAAATGTCACCGGAACATTTTTTTTTCCAGGCAACTGGAAAAACAGGCACTGTGCACATACTTTGAATGCAGACGCCTGAGTCTCAAGTGGCCGAAAATCTCTGAAGCCGAGACCCCACTACAGTTTATAGCGATGGCGCTCGTCCCCTGAGAAACGTTAATGCCGCTCTTTATTTCACAATGATGAATTTCCGTCCACTAATAACTGCAGATACAGTTACTTGCAGCTAAGAGCCATGACTGACAGCACGGTCTAAGTGTTACAAGATTTTCACGCTCGATGATAATGCCGTATCAAGCTCACTGCCGGGTGAAGCTAGTGCGGGGCCTGTAGCATATGTTATAAAGGGGCCATAAATAAATAAATAAGTATACTCATATTAAAACACAATTTTTTTTACTTGCATAGAAAAGTTATTGTATTTTTTCATTTGCTATACAGCCAGATAATACGACAAATCGCTAACTTTAAACACCCAGTCGTTCATAAAAAGTTGAAGGCACTGTAGTACTATAGTAGTACAGTGCAGAATTGCTGAAACGTAATTGATAGCTTGAAAGCATTTAGCGCGGGGCCCTTGAAAATACGGGGTCCGTAGCATATGCTACTTTTGCTACTCGGATAATCTGGCACTGATCAAGCTTAATAGCAGAAGATGGTCCACCTCCCGGCACGGGGAGCGATGATTGTTTATCAGATGCCACGGAGCCATTGTTTTGGTTCATCATTGTAGCAAAACGCTTCTTATTGTTTCTGTTTAAAGGAAGACACAAGCCACACGCAACGGCACCGCCCTTGCCTTGGTACTGCCATGTGCCCGAGCTGTGTTGGCTGGGCCGTGCGACACGCGTGACGCGCGACGTCATGACACGCGCGTGACATCGCCGTGAGATCGCTACCATACTGGAGCGCTACAGCCAAGGTGCTGACCGTGACTTTCAAGTTTTTTTTTTGTCGCGAATGAAACTTCAGTCTCACGTTGGACAGCAATGGACATGTGCAGCCTAGGTACGTGCTGCTGTATCTGATCAGAGCCGTATGTGAGATTTTTTTGGGCTGAGTTCCTTTTAATCTAGAGCTCGGTGTGCGGCAATATCGGGAAGTTATGATCCAGAGTTGAGCTTCAGAATCTTCTTCTTGCATATGGCTCGGTGCATAGCTACTTTTAAACATCTACATCCAAGCTTGGAAGCCACGTGACGACTTCAGGTGAGGCAGAGTGAACCGCCGCTGCTGTTGCTTCCCCCATAAAATGCACTCCGTTGGCAGTGGTTCACAGCGCGCCCGCATTCCGGGCTTCCGTAGATTTTTCCACTCACGAATGCGGTGACTGGAATTGAGTGAAATACAACGATTATTTGAGGCCCACGGCATCTCGGTTGGGCCTTCTGTCCCTGTTTGCAAATGGCGCCGCAATCGGCCGTGATGGTCACGAGGACACCAGCTACTGTCCTTGCACCGGGCTCTCACGGCGGTGAAATCGGCTCGAGATGACGTCAATCTCTTGCAGCTGTCTTCCCACGGCTGGTCTGGTCTCCAGACCGCGGTGAATTGAGATCTGTGTTGGTGAAGCCCCCCCAGTGCTGAGCTGCCATGTCCTTGCTCGTCTGTCCCAATGGATGCGTTGTACGTCGAGATGTCTTTACCGAGTGTGTGAGCAAGAGCGGGCAGAAGAGCTGCTGCTGCTGACGGCTCCCGTGCATAGTGCACTGCCACTCCTTTTTCTGCCTTTCTCAAATGCCGTGGAGTTGTAGCCAAAGCCATCCCGTGCGATGCCTGCGAGTGGGCGTCGGGGCACGTTTGACGCACAGGTGAGTGAAAAGTGCAACGATCGTCTAAGCGAAGTGGAAATACAAACATAACACAACGACCTGGGAGAGGAGGGGGTGGGGGGGTAGGAACCTCCCATGAGATCAAAAAGTAGTTTATCCTCCTTAATGGAGGCAGCCGGCATCCTGAGCGGCGACAGAGAGCAAAGACCAAATGCCCGCTGACCCTCGTCCTGAAAGATTGCGGTTCAGATGGGGAGGGGGGGCGGGGAGAGGATTATGGATAATCTCGGCTGGAGACGGTGGTGGAGGAGGAAGAGCGATGCTCGGTAGGGAAAGAGCCCATTGAGCTGTCCCACCAAGCCGAGTCTCACAGAGTCCCTCCTCACCGAGTCCCACTGAGCCGAGTCCCACCGAGTCCCTCCTCACCGAGTCCCACTGAGCCGAGTCTCACAGAGTCCCTCCTCACCGAGTCCCACTGAGCCGAGTCCCACCGAGTCCCTCCTCACCGAGTCCCACTGAGCCGAGTCTCACCGAGTCCCTCCTCACCGAGTCCCACTGAGCCGAGTCCCACTGAGCCGAGTCCCTCCTCACCGAGTCCCACTGAGCCGAGTCCCACCGAGTCCCTCCTCACCGAGTCCCACTGAGCCGAGTCTCACAGAGTCCCTCCTCACCGAGTCCCTCCTCACCGAGTCCCACTGAGCCGAGTCCCACCGAGTCCCACTGAGCCGAGTCCCACCGAGTCCCACCGAGTCCCACCGAGTCTCACAGAGTCCCTCCTCACCGAGTCCCACCAAGCCGAGTCTCACAGAGTCCCTCCTCACCGAGTCCCACTGAGCCGAGTCCCACCGAGTCCCTCCTCACCGAGTCCCACCAAGCCGAGTCTCACAGAGTCCCTCCTCACCGAGTTCCACTGAGCCGAGTCCCACCGAGTCCCATCAAGTCCCACCGAGTCCCTCCTCACCGAGTCTCACCAAGCCGAGTCCCACCGAGTCCCACCGAGTCTCACCAAGCCGAGTCCCACCGAGTCCCATCGAGTCTCACAGAGTCCCTCCTCACCGAGTCCCACTGAGCCGAGTCCCATTGAGTCCCACCGAGTCCCTCCTCGCCGAGTCTCTCCAAGCCGAGTCCCATCGAGTCTCACAGAGTCCCTCCTCACCGAGTCCCACTGAGCCGAGTCCCATCGAGTCCCACCGAGTCCCTCCTCGCCGAGTCTCACCAAGCCGAGTCCCACCGAGTCCCACCGAGTCTCACCAAGCCGAGTCCCACTGAGCCGAGTCCCACCGAGTCCCACCGAGCCCTCGCTCTGGATTCTGTGCCACTTTGCTGGCCTGGGCGACTGTTGGCCACAGAGTCGCCAGATGTAGGTGGTCATGAAAGCCGTGGTGGACGTGGCAGTGAGTAAAGGCGACCTAACAAGAGGCAGGTTAGGCCAGTGGCTCGTCACAGGCCAAACAATGTTGAGTAAAACTACAAAGCATGAAATTGTCGATATAAATTATTGGACATAGGCTCACGATTAAAAGAAAAATGTCACTTTAGTTGCGGCGTGTGAACGACATCAAAAGAGGTGAATTGATAAACTTCACACGACAATTTGCTTTGATCGAGGGCACTCTGGACATCTGGCTTAATGGCCACTCCTAGTGAGACGTGGCGAGACGTGGTGATACGTGGTGAGACGTGGTGAGGCGTGGTGTGCCGGAGGGTTGAAGCCGGTGCTATGCGTTTCTCCTTCATCTGAAGATGCCCCACAGAGAATCTCCGTGTGTCTCTCCCTCACCTGAAGATGCCCCACAGAGAATCTCCGTGTGTCTCTCCCTCACCTGAAGATGCCCCACAGAGAATCTCCGTGTGTCTCTCCCTCACCGGAAGATGCCCCACAGAGAATCTCCGTGTGTCTCTCCCTCACCTGAAGATGCCCCACAGAGAATCTCCGTGTGTCTCTCCCTCACCTGAAGATGCCCCACAGAGAATCTCCGTGTGTCTCTCCCTCACCGGAAGATGGCCCCACAGAGAATCTCCGTGTGTCACTCCCTCATTTGAAGATGCCCCACAGAGAATCTCCGTGTGTCTCTCCCTCACCTGAAGATGCCCCACAGAGAATCTCCGTGTGTCTCTCCCTCACCTGAAGATGCCCCACAGAGAATCTCCGTGTGTCTCTCCCTCACCTGAAGATGCCCCACAGAGAATCTCCGTGTGTCTCTCCCTCACCGGAAGATGGCCCCACAGAGAATCTCCGTGTGTCTCTCCCTCACCTGAACATGCCCCACAGAGAATCTCCGTGTGTCTCTCCCTCACCTGAAGATGCCCCACAGAGAATCTCCGTGTGTCTCTCCCTCACCTGAACATGCCCCACAGAGAATCTCCGTGTGTCTCTCCCTCACCTGAACATGTCCCACAGAGAATCTCCGTGTGTCTCTCCCTCACCTGAAGATGTCCCACAGAGAATCTCCGTGTGTCTCTCCCTCACCTGAATATGCCCCACAGAGGGCCAAACCTGAGCTGCGAATTATGGAAACGGGCCTCTGAAACGAACTTGCTGGCTCCCGTGGACGACGCCACGTTTTACAACGACGACGACAGTGTTCTTGATTCCGCACCCTTCGATACGTCTCACGGCGCTTTACATCTCACATCACATGTGAGAGGGGCACCCCCAGTGGGAGCTGTCCCCGTGGGCGCGAGGCGACTCAGCAGCCGGCCTACAAGCGGCCATCAGCCTGGCAGTAGGGGGCGACGATTGTTGCTGCTGCTGTGTGAAACCCCAATTGGGTATTTTACATTGCTGTGGGTTACATCATTCCAGCAATATGTGTGTGTGTGTGAGTCCGCGTGAGAGCGCTGAGTCATGAGTAATGGCTGTGCCCTTTGAAGGAAGCAGCTGTGAGGCTCTGCTGCCCCTGTTTGTTATCCCTCCTCTGTGCCTCCGCTCCCTGTCGCCGTGTGAGAGTATATTATCGTAATGTGAAAGAGAATTTAATGTTATTTTCCTTTCCGATCCTCCTAGTTATTATTTAATTAATCTGTTTATGTTTCTTAATCTGCTGCTATTGCTCCTGAAATGATGTATATGTAATGTTAGTAAACGGTATTAATGATTTGTCATTTTTTTGTTTATTCTTGTTCTCATCAGAGGGTATAATTTGAGGAAATACATTAAACGCGCGTAACGTATATATGATTTGATAAATGTGTTTAGCGTGCAGTACAGTGCGTTCCTCATTGTTCATTCACGATGGTGCGGCGTTTAATTAAGCAGACAGTTTATATTGGATGCAAATGTAATTTGAGGACCTCGGTGCTGACTCGCGCCGAGGTTCTCATCGCTGGAGACGGCCGCGGCTGAGCAGACGCCGGTCCCTCACCGCATCGCTCCGCTAAATCGATCGACGGCGTGTTCGCCATCACGCACGTGCACGGCGACGCGCAGTCGGTCTTCTCGGGCGGTCACGACGCAGAAGACGTGGATCTCATCGCAGATGCACGTGCGAGGCGCACTTTCGCGATTTGCACGCATGGACGCAAACCGTACGCCGCACATCGCCGTTCGTGCCATGAATCTCATAAAAACAAACGGACCGTGTTTGAAAAAAACGGTCTTTCCCATTATAAATAAAATTAATAATTCACGCTTTCATATTCACACGCGAGCGCCTAACGTGCGAGCGCTTACGGACGAAACTACGGGATGAGCGGCACGTCAGACGTGTTATTGGTCAATATGAGGCGCAACGGCCGATTTGGCCGTGATTGATGTTTGCCGTGATCTGGAGAATTTGATGCCGCATGCGGCAAAGCCGCACACAGTCAGAAATGGGGTATTGAATGGTCGGTTGAGGAGGCCATCAGAGATGTGACCCTGATGTCTCCAAAATTCCCACGCTGACCTTTAGCGTGACCTCTGCACAGCCTCCTTCTGCATTGATCTGTTTGTGTGCCTAGGGGCTCTGAAGCCTCTGAGGGAGACCATTAACATTCAGTCTCTTCGAGTTAATGTTACTCCCAGGGACAACAAAGTGTCATTTGACGGCGGCGGGGTACGCGCGCCACTGCGCGTGCGTTCACAAATGTAGCGTGCGTGAGGAGGAAGCGCCGCTCAACCGGATTTTTTGCGAGTGAGGCGGCTGTGTTTGCGTCAACGCACGCCACTTAAATGGTTGGGTTTCGATGTAGGTCCACAGAGCTGGGACAGTTGTTGGCCCCGTTGCTGTGCTGCTTGCTTGGGTTTCCCCGCAGAAATGATAAAGATTTTTTTCAATGCAACTTAACACAAATTATGCGAAATCAAGATAAAACATGATTACCATTTGAACACAAGTAAACTGCACCCGGACATAAGCGAGGAGCAGCCGCGTGAGCGTGCGTGACGCGTGCGTGTTCTTGTGAGAGATTAGCACGGTTGGCTACGTACGGTGCGAAAGACGTTCAACATACGTACGTACACACAGAGATGTGTGCGTACCACGTGGCACCAAGGGGTCTGAATGTTTGTTGCGTGCGTGCGTCACTACGTACACACGTCAGTGCGTGTTTGTGTGCGTGTAAATACACGCTCATACGTTTGTATCTGCCGGTGACGAGCACCTGGCATAAACTCTATATTAATTGCACGTGTGTGCATATGCGATTTCAAAATGTTTGCCATGGATGCATGGGCTCACAAGTGTTTTGGTAACGTTTGTGCCAGTTATTTGTGAGGACTGTTGTTGTGTGTGTATGCTCATGGATACATGAGCATATGTGCACAATTGTGAGTAATTGCGTGTGTGTGTGTGGTGTGTGTGCGTGTGTGTGTGTGCGTGTGTGTGTGTGCATGGTCTGTGTGTGTGTGTGGTGTGCGTGTGTGTGGTGTGCGTGTGTGTGGTATGTGTGTGTGGTGTGCGTGTGTGTGGTGTGCGTGTGTGTGGTGTGTGTGGTGTGTGTGGTTTGTGTGTGTGGTGTGTGTGTGTGGTGTATTGGTGTGTGTGTGTGTGGTGTGTGTGTGTGGTGTATTGGTGTGTGTGTGTGTGGTGTGGGTGTGGCGTGTGTGTGGTGTGTGTGTGTGGTGTGCGTGTGTGTGGTGTGTGTGTGTGTGGTGTGTGTGTGGTCTGTGTGCGTCCGTGCGCCTGCGCATGCAGCGGCGCCGTGGTTCGTGGAGCAGCCCGAGAGCGTGAGCCGGCCGCGTGCCGGCACGGCGCGCTTCATGTGCCACGCCGAGGGGGTGCCGCCCCCCGCTGTGGCCTGGCTCAAGAACGGCGAGCCGATCCACTCCAACGGACGGGTCAAGGTGCTGGACAACAGGTGACACACGCACGCACACACGCACACCGTTAGTCTCAGTTGCTGTTAGTAAGCACGTGATGGTGGGGTGGGACTACGACGACTATGCAGGGATTCCTTTGTCTTCCTAGTGCCGAGTTTACTTAAGGGAGGCCCAAGACTGGTTCCATGGTGTGCCTGACTAGGAATTGATCCCAGGCTGGCAATTGAAACCAGGCCACTGGTATCATAGCGTGCACTAATCACCATGCCACTCACGTGCGCGTACAAGTGAATTTGAGCACACACGTAAGCCCCAACACCTGCTCTTCTTTGCTTTATGCACGCTAACGACTACTCGTATCGCAGATTATGGGTTCAATTAGGCGAGAGGAGACCGCGTGATAATGCCCCTTTAGAGCTGTGTGCAGGGGGTAAGGTCCGGAGACCGCATTGAGCTGAATTGAGGGGAATTGGTAGCGGCACGAGTGGACGGCAGACAAAGAAAAGTGGCCGCGCTTGGCACCCTCGAGCCTCAATGGGAGATGTCGGCGTTGCGTGGCTGAGTGGCCCGCGCAGTGTTCGCCGCTGCCTGTGATCCCGGTCGGATTCTATCCTGCGACGCTTGAATTCCAACAAATTCTATTGGCCTTTGTTCCACCCTTAGAGAGAGCCTCCCCAGGGTCGACTTTACCTAAATGGGCACCTGGCGCTTTGTTTACAACATCTGCGGAGGAAATAAAGGTGGCAAAGTAGCGGCGCCGGCCACGCTCGCGGCGGCGCTCGCGAGCCCCCCAGGGACGTGTGGGGGGCCCGCGGATCCTTAACTCGTGCCGCTCGACGGACACGCCGCAAACCTCCGGCCGTCGTCGAGTTGCCGCGGCAGGTAGAACCAAGCGGTGCACTCGCCGCTTTGTCACCGAGATAAGTGGCGCGGCTCCATAGAGATTCCAGGGCGAGAGGCCTCCGGTGCCCAGAGCCGCTGCACGTCACGGGCAGCCCGGGAGGGCAGGGCGCACGAGCACCTCGCGACGGCTCCACCCGTCTCGGCAGCGGCGCTTCTGCTGCGTGTGTCCTGTGCTGAACGTCGGTGTGCGTTATATTGCCATGCCTGCGGCTTTTTGTAATTGTTTGTACAGAGTGAGTGCTTTGTGTGGATTACCATATTGTATTGTAGTGCTTGATTTTATTGTTTTTTGTTTAAATTCTAAACGTCCTTGGTGTGTCATATCTTTGCTGATGCAACTTTAGCACTGAATCGTGTGCGAGTTTCACCTTCCTTTCAGCAAGCTGGCAATGTTGTGCGTTCACAAAGTCTGAAGGCCTGCGACAACACAGTTGTTGAGTGTCCAGTGGTATACGAGGCTCGCGCAGGCCAGTGCTGAATGCTAGGCCTGTGTGCAAGGGCCGTTTAGCGTCAAGTTTTTGAAGAGCATACCGTGCCTGCGCTATGAATCGTTGGCATATTGTGGTCGTCATGGGCGCCGGTGTACGGAATGAAACGGAGCAGGGGGAGGGAGCCCCCCCATCCCAAGCGTCCTCCTCTTGCGTAGCCCAGCGCCCATGGGCCCCCTGCGCCGTCGCACCGCCTGCGCGCCCCCCCGATGGATGCGCCTCCGCGGCCTGAGCGCCGCCGCCTGACGCCGCGCCCCCCGTACCCCGCAGGCTGGTGATCACGCAGCTGATAGCGGAGGACGAGGCCTACTACCAGTGCGTGGCGGAGAACGCGCTGGGCAGCGGCACGGCGGCCGCCTGGCTGGGCGTCGTCGTGTCGGAGGAGCGGCCCGGGGCCCCCCGCGCCGTCACCGCCCACACCGTGTCCAGCACGGCCATCCTGCTCACGTGGGAGCGGCCTCTGCACAACGCGCACCGCGTCATCGCCTACTCCGTGCACTACATGAAGGCTGAGGGTGAGCCCCCCCCCACCTCTTACGGCATTCCCAGCCTCGAGCTGGCCGTGCCGTTCTCTTCTCTGTGTTTAGTTTTTTGTCCTTTCCCTGCATCTCCGATGAGCACGGTTGGCTACATATGGTATGAAAGAAGTTCAACGTTCTGCTGTGATGCCACGGCTCTCTCTCGTGTGTGTGTGTGGCGAGGTGAATAGCGGTCATATAATTCTACATCCAGGTTAGTTCACCTGGAAGTGGCTTAAGTTAAGCGAGTGTATTGCTTCATTGCCCCTATTGAGATTTTGACTTGCATAGAGACCGACAAACTCGCGCTGAGGGCAGAGTGATTCACCACGATGTGGTCGAGGTTCGCTCAGTGTTTCCACATCGCACACCGGGCTTTCTTTTGAATCACCGTTTCTCTGAGATGCTAAAGTCTGAATCTACAAGGGCGCTGGCTCTGGTAAAGAAACATAATGACTGGTGATGTCTGTGTGAACCTTGAATGCGATTGATCACGGCTACATTCTACACTCACTGGAGTAAAGATTGCCATTGGAGAGGTGTCAGGTTAGCAATAGCAAGGTAGCTTTCCCAACTTTAAAGTCTTACAGTTGTTCGATATGGCAATAACTTAAACACATACATCGTGCAAACGTTGGAGACAGGCAGAGGAATAAAAGTGATTTGTGGAAGACAGAGAATGCGATCTACCTGGTTTGTAGCGAGAGGTGGGTCCAAGTGGCATTTGGAAAGAAGACGTGAAAATGTGGAGCAGATCGCGGGAGGTGATGGCACATGTGGTGCATAGAAGGGAGGCCGAGAGAGGAGCCCATTGATTGGATGTGGTAATGGGGGCCTGCAAGGCAGTCTGAGGGGAGCGGTGTGTTGGCCTGGTGGGATCGGAAGGGGGCCCCCTCGTGATTCGTGGCAGGAATGAATGAAGGGCCCCTCCGGCTGACCCTGTGGGCACGAGTGAGGAGAGGTCTTGGTGATTCACAGGCCCCATTCAATATCGAGGCCATGCTTCATGGGTCCTCACACTGCCCAACGGACAATTTGCAATTTGGATTAAATTTGGCAGCACAACGCAAAGTGGATCGTCACACAATAGACCGCGGCTTGCCTCACACTTTGTTGTGCGTCCCATTCAAAGGGAATGTAGACTCTTCAATTTAAGCTGCGGAGCTGCGGGTGAAGCCACCCGTCTGTGTTGAGCCGCTGTCTCTTAATGTCAGCAGCGTTGAGACGTTAGCGCCGTGCTTGGTGGGAATTTGCTGGTGGGTAATGAGTGGAGAGAGATTACTTTTCAGGCGAGGCTAAACGATTGAAATGGAGTTGAGATTCTTATAGTATGGATATGGTCATTTGTAGTTTAGACTTGCATTCAAGAATTGTAGCAGCATGGTGTAAAATGTAACAGATGTATAGTTTAGTAGGTGGAGCAGTGTCACGATGATTTGCACACTGCGCAGTGAACCTAGCCAACTGAATTACATTCCCAGCCAGGGCTAACAACATTGGTGAGTGATATCTGAACTGACCCTGAGAGAAGCCACCAGCCCCATCACCATTCTGCAGTGACCAGCATGGTGAAGTATGGTCAAAAGGTCCTCATGCTGACCAACACAGCGTAGGAAAGGCTTCATCCAGCAGTGCATTGACAAAGCGCTATGATTGACCGTTATCACAGCTCAGAGTTTTTTATACAAAGATTGTCAGAGAAGTTTGTGGTATGTAATTGTAATAGACATGTGCTTTTTAGATGCTTTTCATACCAAATTTCAGAAGAGGCTTGGAGTATGCGATCTGTGGGGGGACTACTTTCCAAGGATGGTATACTGTAGCTGCACAAGGTGACACAACGTTTAAATGAAAAATGGTGTTGGCGTACACCGACTGTGCGAGACGGTTAAAAGGATAGATATGAGCGTGTGAGCTCAGCGGCAGAAAGAGAATGGTTGAAGTCACGGCCACAGAAGATAAGACCCTGGCATCAAGAGGAGGCGTCCGGCTGCCCTGTTTGGGCCGTCTGGGTAGAGACAAGATGAGACGCTGGACGATGGCACTGGAGGAGTCATTTAATATGTTAAGGCACCAACAAGGGATTGAAAGTGGAGAGAAAATAGCAGTTGGTTTACATATTAGGTCAAGGTTGAGGTCAAGAGGTCATCTTCCCCAATGCAATGTATGCTGCCATGTCTCGCCATCGCTTCCTTCCTTCTGCTCGATGCCACAGCTGTTGCTGAGTGGACACATGACCTCCAAGGTCTGCCCCTTACAGTATCCCACCATCTGGCCACGGTTTTCCGCTTGGTCACTGACTTCTGGGCACCACTGCCATGTGACGAGAAAGAGAAACGCCTCCCCATTCGTAGACGTAAACCTCTGACGTAACTTTTCGTACGGAGTACCTATTAAGGCTGACGTGACGCGCACGCACACGCGAGGTTTGATGTCCGTCTAAAGTTATGAATGTTTGGTTTTGAGGGAAAAGTGCTTCAAGAGATAAGGGGAGTCATTTTTCTTGGCCGTAAAAATAAAGCAACTCTGGGGACATGTTAGCTAAACATTGGAAACGTGTTAGTGGAACATTCACTACACGTCGCATAAATACATCGCAGGCTAGTCTCAGGCCCGACATGTGTTTATTTTTCATGGTAATGTGGTTACGTTTCCCAATATAATTCTATTTTGATACGATGGTGATTTTGGTTTTGTTTTGGGAGGAGTGGGTTTGGCAGACTTGTAAGTCTGTTTTAGTCTCCTGCTTCTTGGGGCCGCTTCTGGGATGAGTAAATGTTCCCGTGCAGACCTCCTCAGCGCTCGGCCCATGGGGACATCTGCCGTTGAGAGCAATAGAGACAAAGGCTCCGCCGATAATGGGCTGTTTGGTCAGCGTTTGTCAGGTTTCTTTTGCCGGTTTAAATTGGAAATCTCATTTCAATTTACTCGTCGCCTTTGGTTTTGTTGCTTTAATTCAAAAATGAGAAACGCTTAAATGTATCCGTTTTTGCCGCTGCACACGAGTTTCTAACGCAACAGAGCTTCTGAAATGCGTTGGCGGCGAAGCACATCGATTTTCATCTCAAAGAGCATCATTTACTTTGGTTCTTTCATGAGCGGAGGTGGGAAGCTCGGGACAAAAGATACTTTTGAGGATGTTGCATCCGTGAGGTTGGTTCCAGATGAGGCTAAGGCCCTCTGGAAGCAGAGCGGCCCCGCGCCGCGCCACACCACACGCGGCTCACCGGCACAAGGCCCTGGTGGAGCGCCCAGTCACAAGATGGTCGCTTCGCTCGGCGCCGCTTTCCCAGAACCCACGGTGACCCACCGCCCAAATCCCCACTGAAACGCACCGCCTGGCAGCTGAAACAAGGGTCAAGGGTTACAGGAACAAGAGTGGAAAGAGGGCTCTTGACATCCTCCGGGCAGCTGGGCCACATGAAATGGAGAAAGCGGCACAATGCCCGTGTTTCTACTTAATTTGTGTGGAGAGAAACGTGGCCGGTGGATAATCCCCGCGTGTCTTTTGGTCTGCATTAATTTAAAGAGAGACACTTTTGTGGTACCGGAGAAGAGCGCCTTCTATTTGTTTATTGGCGAGCGGTGCGGGGCTGGAGCCGCGAGGGCTTCGCCGCGCCGGCGTGACCCGCGGCACCTCGGCGAGATGACCACACGAGCGTGAATGCTGCCGAGGAGAGAAAACCAATTAAAGCGCTTGAATTGCCGGCCGCCGACGCCGTGGCCGAGCCGTTTGTTTGCCGGGGACCACCGCCCCCCCCCCCCCCCCCCGCTTGAAGCGAGCGGGGGGGGGACCCCGAGGACCCCGCTCGGGGTCCCCCCGTCCCCCCCCCCGCTTGAAGCGAGCGAGGGGGGGGAGGGGGGGACCCCCCCGGCTCTTTGTGCTCCTCTGAGGGCTTCAGAGACAGAGGCCCTGGCAGCAACGCCGTTTTAATTATTGCTGATCAATAAGGGCCTTTCTCCACCGGTGCCAGTTAATAAGGGCCCGTACGGCCGGCCTGTGTTTGTGAAAAGTGAGGCGATTGTTGAGCGTGGAAATCCTGGTGCCGTGCGCTCCCCGCATTGATCCGTGATCCTGGGGAGGGCTCCGTGAGGAGGAGAAACGATTTCATGCAAATGAGGCGGTAATTGTTTTGGGTTGTGTTGCTCTGCACCCGTTTTAACCTATTCTCGTCGCATTAAACGGACCTTTCTCTCTGCCGGCTAATTTAAGTAACCTTCTTTAGATTGCGACATAATAACTGTTTAATACGGAGCGGCATAGACATTGAAAAGGCGTGTGTGCGTGTGAATGTTTGTGTTTCTCTATACGCGTGCACGCGCGTTCATTTACTCTGAAGTTAAAGTTTCAGCTCATAGCAACCTTCAACGTTTATAGATACGATTGCTTAAAATAGTTCTGAAGTCTGTGTGTTTGTGCGTGTGTTCCTGAGCACATACAAATGCGTATGTGTGAACGTATCTGAATGGAAATGAGAATGGCACTCTGTATGTGACCTCAGAGTGGACCTAGCCTGGTACAATCGCCGTAGTAACATCATCGTCACATACAGGGGATATTTGTCTTTGTATGTCAGAGTGTGAATGATTTCCAAAAGATACATGTGCCCGTGTGTGAATGTGTCCGTAAAGATGTCCTTGTGTGTGAAAACATGCATGTGAATGTGTGTAACTGTGCGCGTGGGTGTGTGATAATATGTGTGCATATTTGTGCACATGTGGACGTCTGGATAAATGTGTGTCTGTGTGTGGATGTTTGAATAAAGGTAACCTTGTGGTGATCGCTCTGTGCCTTTCGAATTGCCTAGGACACGATCACCATGTTTGTGAAAGCTTGCGGATGTCAGCTCTTATGACAGAAAATGTGATACTCAGTTCATTGGTATTGATTTTTATTTGTTTGTCTGTTTTGAGCAAATCTAAACAACGTCTACTTTCATGCTAAAAATACACTTCAAACTCAATACAGCACGTTCGTAACTCAATAGCTCAGCCTGCCGAGCTGCTATTTATTCGATGATATTTTCGAGGTGATTTATCACGTTTAATTACCAATTCCATTTTCCTACGGTTGGGCTATACGTAGAGATATCACGCTTTCATTTATATCACGTTTACAAGTAAATTTCCTCGTGAATAGATTTGTTGTCGTTGCTTCAGAGACCGCACGCTCAGCGATGGGCTGGTCAAACGCCGTTGACAGTTGTTGATGATGAAGCGGCCTCGCAACCCACGCAACCCACGCAACCCTCGCAACCCTCGCAACCCACGCAACCCTCGCAACCCACGCAACCCTCGCAACCCACGCAACCCTCGCAACCCACGCAACCCACGCAACCCTCGCAACCCACGCAACCCACGCAACCCACGCAACCCACGCAACCCTCGCAACCCATGCAACCCTCGCAACCCTCGCAACCCACGCAATTCTCGCAACCCACGCAATTCTCGCAACCCACGCAACCCACGCAACCCTCGCAACCCACGCAACCCTCGCAACCCACGCAACCCTCGCAACCCTCGCAACCCACGCAACCCACGCAACTCTCGCAACCCACGCAACCCACGCAACTCTCGCAACCCACGCAACCCTCGCCTGCGTCCCCTGGCCGTTGGCGTCGGGGGTATTGGTACCGTGGATCGGCGTGGGTCTCCGCGTCTCGGAGGCCTCTCGCGCGGTTATACGTGAAGATTGCGACGGTATTGAAAAGTAATGCGGTAATACCCCCGTTTTTTTGAAACCTTGGGAAGCGCTTCTCGGAGGCTGCCGAGATCAAGAATGGAATGAGGAGAGGCGTGTGTGGTAAATGGCCGGCTGATTATCGACTTATCGGTTGTCCACCGCTCGTTAGCGAGAAGTCCCTGGGATTGGTGGCTGCCTGCCGTTCTAAACCGGGATCCTCTCTTTTTTGTTTAGGAAATCACGAAGTTATTTTTGAACGTTACCATAACATAGTCAGCGGGGTGGCACAGTGGTAACAATCGAGCCTCACACCAAGAAGGGCCAGGGTTTGATTCCAACTCGGATGCCTCTCTGTGTGGAGACTGACTGTTCTTCTCTCTGTGTGGGTTTCCTCCAGGTTTTCCAGTGTCCTCCAAATAGCTAAAAAACAAGCAAATGCAACATCCACACTGCTGAAGAGCTGCAGGCAAATTATACCATTTGGATTACACAGAGCAATAAATCGCTCCCTTCCTGCGAAACTAATATTCGCGGAAAATGTATGAATAGCTACGAACTTTAACACGAACACTGCGATATAGGAGCAATACACATGGACACATATTCTCAAAATTATAAAATGTTTAGTAACTGCATTACATAAAAACACATTACACACATTATGCGCGTTACACACCACACACACACACAGATACGTTACACACACGCACGTTACACACTACACGGGTACATTACACACACACGTTACATACACACGTTACACACACACGTTACACACACACACACGTTACACACACACGTTACACACACACACACGTTACACACACACGTTACACACACACACACGTTACACACACACGTTACACACACACACACGTTACACACACACTTGTTCCGTTAGGGTCAGGGTCAATAGAGAAGCTGGCACGCATCATTGCCAACGCTGTCCCTAATTTTAGTTTTACCATTGAGTAATAAACTGTTAGGGCTGTCGTAACATTTCAATTTAGTCAATCGAGTTGATCTGATTGATTAACCTGTCAATTAATGTGTACTGTGTGTGTATTGTGTGTGTGTGATGTGTGTGTGTACTGTGTGTGTGTGTACTGTGTGTCTGTGATGTGTGTGTGTGTACTGTGTGTGTGTAATGTGTGTGTGGTGTGTGTGTGTACTGTGTGTACTGTGTGTGTACTGTGTGTCTGTGATGTGTGTTGGGTGTGTGTGTAATATGTACTGTGTGTGTATCACCGTGAGCAACATGAAGGCTGTCTCACATCTTGTATGTATGTTGAACTTCTTTTGCATCATACGTATGTTTTTGCCCAGAGTGTTTTTTTTTCTTTCATTAAATCTCAGTCACATTCCAATTGTGCTGACAAATTAGAATCTCGATTTGTAATTGTGATAGTGCGCAGTGCTCCACTTTGTGTGCGAGAGAAGTTATGCCTTTTACAGAAAGTTTTTTTGCAGCCCCTAAAAGTTATTATCTTTAGGTTGCACGGCATTTTAGGTGGTACACCGTTTTAGATGGCACACCGTTTTAGTTGGCACACCATTCCATGTGGCTGGCAAGTTGTGTTAAAGGGATGCATTTCGTGAACTAACATGAAATATGTCAAAACTCTTGCTCGACGTCAAACCCCGATTTAATCACGGGCGGTTTAAACCTGGATTCGAACCAAGGCGATACACAGTGCCGGGTCACCGCTGAGACAGCCATCGTGAACATCACTGAGACGGGATGAGAATCAGAATATTTCTTTATACTGCAGGAGGAATCCGCTGAGTTATAAAGCTCTTTTCACAGGTGTCCAGTAGGGGCAGGTAAGAACGTTACAACAACAAACAGTACAAACACAAGACAATAGTGCAAAGTACAAGAGGTGAACAAATCACCCAAACATCCCCATCCTACTTGGCAAGGCCCACTGAGGTCTTGTTTTTCAAAAGCGACCTGGTCACAAAAGACAGCTCAACAAAGTGGCCCATCCTTTGGACATTCATAGCAGCGACATAATCTAGAGAATGTGAATGCATCGCGAAGAGGCCGAGCCAGCTGGCTCCTGCACGACGTTGTGCTTCATACTAAAGACATACAACCAAATGGAAAACAAGTTCGTGTGTTCCTTAAATGTTGAGCCTTAATGATTCATTGATGGAATCGATTAATTCCTGTCAATGTATCAAGTGGACATAACGGAAACTAATTTCCCATATTCCATGTATGGATTATCAATAACGTGGCCTGATGTCCCTTGCCAATATATCTATACCAATGGGCTCTTACCTGACACAGTTAATATATCTTTCTGAGAACAATTTCAGACGTGGCTTTAAATCGACGTTGATGAGTGCAAATTGGAGCAGAAGGAACACGAGGGGTTCCGTGGCATTCAAACTGCCAGGCCGTGGTGCGCACAGCCTGGTAGTGCTCGTCAGGGGCTCTTAGCTTCATGCCCAGTACGCACGCATGGTATGTATCGTACGTAGCCAGCCATGCTCATCGGAGGTGCGGGGGAAGGGACGACATGGCAGCACACTGACTGCACCAGGGAGGAACCTGTCTACCTATCTAATTTAAACTCCATCTCTATATCCCCACCTCACCACGTGGCCATGTCTAACTCTGTCTCAGCCGGCCTCGCCAAACCAATTTGCCGCATCGCTCTGCGTGCTGCAGTGGAGCTCAGGGCCGTATGTATGCATGTTGAACTTCTTTCGCACCGTACGTAGCCAACTTGAGTTCCTGGATGAGGAGCAACTCTCTCTGCATCCCTCACCTCCTCCCCTTCACCCCCCCCCCTCGCCCCCACCTCCCACCCCGTGGCGGCACCACAGGCATGAACAACGAGGAGTACCAGATCGTGATCGGGAACGACACGTCGCGCTACCTCGTGGACGACCTCGACCCGGCCACCAACTACACCTTCTACCTCGTCGCCTACATGCCCGTGGGCGCCAGCCGCATGTCGGAGCACGTGATGGGTACCACGCTGGAGGACGGTGAGCCCCCAATGCCCCGAGCACGGCTGCCCAACCACCCCACGAGTATTGAGCTGGATAACTCGACGCAGTGCTGTGTTACACCCAAGTGAGTTTTAGTTGCACACTCGAGTTTCAAGAGAGCGAGCAGAAGTGGCTCGGTCTTCACGAGCCCTCGCTGTGTTGCCGCATCCCGTGCACGCGGGTTCGACTCGCTATGCCTCACACTCTGCTCACTACCGCCTCATCCCCTTCCCACTCCTTCCTCTTTCCCTCTTCCCTCGCCTCATCCTCTCTTCGCTCGGCCACCTCGCGCCCCCCTCCCCGCTGCTATCCTCCCCATCCCCGCCTTGCACCCCCCCCCCCCCACAGTGCCGCTGCGCGCCCCGGAGCTGAGCCTGAGCAGCCTGAGCCCCCGCGAGGTGCGCGTCTCCTGGGGGGCCATCCCCCCGCGCTACCGCCGTGGCCGCCTCACCGCCTACCGCCTGTGGTACCGGCGCGGGCCGGACGGGGCGCCGCACGCGCTCGACGTGCCGGGCGAGCGGGGCGACTGGCTGCTGCGAGGCCTCGCGCCCGACAGCACCTACCTGCTGCGCGTGGCGGCGGCGACGCGCGCCGGCTGGGGGGAGCCGTCCGTGTGGCTGTCGCACCGCACGCCAAAGCTCACCGCCCGCGACGGTACCGCTCTCCGTTGCTCTCCCCCCGCTCGCTCACCCCTCGCTCTCTCCTCGCTTGCTCTCTCTCCCGCTCTGTAGAGCAACAGTTTGGCCGTCTCTCTTCTCCGCGCGCTGTGGCTCCGGCTTTGCCTGACGACACCAATGACAGTCACCGCTTCGTATGTCCAAGTGTATTTCGATTCCCGTTCACGGCCACCACCATCATCGACGATTAGCTGAACCGGTCCTGGGCCTGCCCTGGTATCTTCATCTTGTCCTGCTCCAGCAAGAAAAGGCTGGGGCCCCTGTTTATTGGTGACTCGAAGCCAGTGGTGGATGTTCCATAGTTCTGTGGTGGGGGCTGGATGACAATTGTTGTCTTCTCGCATAATGAGTTTTATTGACCACAATTTGATCTTAGATTGATTATGTTAATTTCTTATCATACTGGAAGGGCTTACTGAATCTCAAGACATTGTAAGGAGGGCCTTGCTTTGGATGGTTTAACAAGTTTTCAGAAGAGTAAATGTCTAGGAAGAATCTGGGGGACCTGTAGGAAATAAATATTTGCTGTACTTAAATTTATGATGCAGTTGGCATGTCTTATCCAAACAATGATATAAGCCACCAACCCTGTTTGCAAACCACTGGATTACACGCACACTTCCTGGCCACCACGAGAGTAATCAAAGTCACGGTGATATTGTACCGTAGCAGATGCCACCACCATCATAACCGGCATCATCTACGCAATTAATGCGAGCACCACCTTCACCGCCATTGCCACCAGCACCATCACCGGCACCATCATAGCCGGCACCACCGGCACCATCGTCACCAGCAGCACGATCACTAAAAGAACCACCACCATCCCAATTGCCACCACTACGATCACCGCCACCAGCAGCAGCACCTTCGCTGAGCACGCCGGCGCGGGGCGTGGTGGTCACGGCCGTGCTCTCTCTGCGCCGCAGTCCCCGTGTCGCCGGCGCTGCACCTGGAGGCGCTCAACTGCACGGCGGTGCGCGTCACCTGGAAGGCGGCGTCGGGGCGCGGCGCGGTGCGGGGTCACCGGCTGCTGTACCGCGAGCAGGAGGGCCACCTCCAGGTGGGGCCCATCCTGCTGCCCGCCCGCGACCAGGCCTACATCATCAGCGACCTCGGTGAGCGTCCCACTCGCCGCGTCTCGCGAGTCGGCTCCTCCACTCCCCCCCTTCTCTCGCTCGCCACCGTAGCCACGCCACGGCACTACAAACCCAGTGGCCTCCGAGTTCAATTCCCAGCCACGGTTAACGTCAGTGGGCAAAGGGATATCTTGACCGGTTCTGGGCCTCCTCTATGTGTTGAAATAAATGGTTACCTGGTGTGATGTAAACTTCAGAAATTGGGAGACAAACATGGCAAGGTGTGGTGCTCGCTACAACACCCCTTCACCGACTGTGCCGGCCTGCATAGCTGCTAACTCGCAGTACTTGCCCCAACGGTCTTTATGGCTGTAGGGAAATATTTGTCCTTGTGTGCAAGATTGGGGTCATTTTGGAGAGTGGAGCCACAGTGGATTACACACTGCACTACGATACTGGTCACCTGGGTTCAATTCTAGGCTATGAACAGCATCAGGGGCAGGTGGTAGCTGAACCTGGCCTGGACTTCCCATGGATGTCCTCGGCTTTAATTAAGTGTCTGGTCTGGTATGTATATCTCAGCACGAGGAAGACAAAGGCGGTTCAGGCCATACCACCTGCACATATGGCATTCTTGCCTCAATAGGTGTTCACTCGTGACGCTTATTTTTACACTTCATGAGCAGGGGATCTTTGTCTGTCTTTGTTGGGGTGGGGCCAAGTGCAGTAATTGTTAATGAGTTTGTTTTATGTCCCATGTACAACCTTTGTACACGATCAGCCTTTGTAACACACAGGATCAGTCTTCCATTCACAATCTGCTGACTTGCCTATGTCTCCCTCTGTTCCGATAAGGGTCATTTCCTGAAACGTTGCCTTATTGTGCGAATTTTTTTCCCCCCGTTTACAATTTACAACAAGCAGAGGTTGTCGGTCACAGCGGTGGCGAATCACTTCCAGCGTCTGCTTCATGCTGCGGCAGTGGTAATTTTCTCTCCGCTTGAGTGATTGCTTTATTGTTATCAGCCTCCCCCGAAAGGATTTTTTGAGAAATTCCTTTCACCGTGTCCACCATTTAAAAGATACCTCTTCTGCCGGCTTGTTTAAATAGAATCTGGAAGATGTTGTTGCCGTAACACGCGCTCCCCGAGTGGGGTAAATGCTGTGGGGGACGCAGTCTGGGTGTGGAGAGGCGGTGACAAAGATGGAGGTGGGATTGTCTACAGCGCGGGCTGCTGCGAGTGAGGGGAGAGGGCGTTGGGGAGAGAGAGAGAGAGCGGAGTGCCTGGGGAATTGTAGGGAAGAGGCTGTGGAGAGTCGGGGAGAGAGCTGGCTATTGGAATGGAGGGGAAGCTGCTGTGGGGAGGGCGAGAGGACGTGCAGGCGTGGAAGGTCAGAGTGGGAGTGATGATGGTGGTTCTGTAGCAAAGGTGCTACTGCTTTATAGTTTAATCTCCCAGCTCAAAAAAGCCCTGCTTATCTATTGCGGTGGTCAAGATCCAGTGGTGGCTATTCTACATTACCGTGGCAGGGCAAGGATTCCCGCAAATGTGGCACGCATTTTAACAGCCAGTGTTAGACGATCAAGCCTTCTCGTTGTGAGTCGGGTGTTCTAACCACAGTCCCACTCACCCACTTCTAAATAACATGTTTACAATTAATCAGGGGAATTTACATTGACACCACTTTAATGGCTGCCTCATGTCAGCAGACGCTTTGAGACAAACGTCAGGAAACTTGCACACTTATATATAATTATATATATTATATATTATTATATATATTATTATATATATTATTAAGGCTGGCTGTGGTTTCGTGGTTTTCACCTCGAGTCCATGAATCGAACTGTCACTCTGGCCTACCAGTTCTCTCCCCGCTCAGGACAAGTCCCAATTTAGAGTGAGCACGTGTGGAGCAGTACCCCGTGAGTGAGTGAGTGAGTGGCTCCACACGAGTCAGCGGTGCCCAGTGAGGGAGTAGCTCCACACGAGCCAGAGGTGCCCTGTGAGTGAGTGGCTCCTCACGAGCCAGCGGTGCCCAGTGAGTGAGTGGCTCCACACGAGTCAGCGGTGCCCAGTGAGTGAGTGGCACCACACGAGCCAGCGGTGCCCAGTGAGTGAGTGGCACCACACGAGTCAGCGGTGCCCTGTGAGTGAGTGGCTCCACACGAGCCAGCGGTGCCCAGTGAGTGAGTGGCACCACACGAGCCAGCGGTGCCCTGTGAGTGAGTGGCTCCTCACGAGCCAGCGGTGCCCAGTGAGTGAGTGGCTCCACACGAGCCAGCGGTGCCCAGTGAGTGAGTGGCACCACACGAGCCAGCGGTGCCCTGTGAGTGAGTGGCTCCTCACGAGCCAGCGGTGCCCAGTGAGTGAGTGGCACCACACGAGCCAGCGGTGCCCTGTGAGTGAGTGGCTCCACACGAGCCAGCGGTACTCCTATAATTTACCCGGCTCTGCGGTAGTCATATAAAGTGTATTTCTATGCTGTTGGATATTTTCCCATGAGCATGTTCTCTATGAATGCGATTACCCAGAGGGTTGGGAGGGGGAGTGTAGTGGTATGCATGATGCACGCTATGATTTGCTTTCCATCATGTCACAGACAAGATGTAGACAACATCGTGACAGCACACAATCCTTCCTATTATTCATGAGAATCTGGCCTGGTGGTGCTGCGGTTCGACTCTCAATTGGAAGGTTGCAAGTTCAGTTCCCAGCCTGGGGTGTGACTCCGCCTGTTATTCCCCTGAGGTCAGTGATAAATAGAAGTCAGCGGCGGTTAATCTACTGGCTCCAACCACGGGAATGTGGAATTTCTGCCACGTGCTCAAGGCCACCAATTGAAAAGACTTCCCCGCCCTCCTCGCGCATTTGGATAGGGGGAGATACTTTGACTCTATCATGGGTTGGGTAATGAAATATAACAGACCTGCATAACAGCAATAGTGGATATCGTTATTGTTGTTATTGTTGTTATTGTTGTTGTTAGAGAGCGTACCCCCTCCCTGTACGAGTTGTTCACTAACTCGGTGCTCCTATCAGGCTAAAGAGTTATTTTTATTGCCACTACTGTGTCTAAGAGATTCTGAGTTTCCCAAGCATGCCGTTGCATCACTGGCAAGTGACTAACTGCTTACTATATTTGATAAATATGTTTCTAGTTTTGCGTGAACAAATCATTCTTACCAGGGCATTGTGAACGCATTCGTGTATATGCTTAATGCGCTGCTGCTGTTGAGAAACCTCTGAGATTTCTATTTGATGAAAATAGCATTTTTATCATATCCATAATTTTTCTTGTAGATTTTACATGTAAAAAAAAATCGATATGTAATGCTGTTTATTAGCCGTCATGATAAAAAGGAATGATAATTAAATTCACTTTCAGCCATTTTCCAATCCACTGCTGGATAGGGTTGCCATCTCAGTGTCAGCCCCTGGGGGTTGATTGACCTTCCTTCCCTCCTTCACCGTGGTGGCCACTGCAGGTTGCTGTGTAGGCGGACGCCTGGGAACAGATTGCAGTCGCCACTGATGTTAGCCGTGGCTTGGAATACAGCTCCAGGTGGCTGGGCTCATAGTTGCTAACCACTGCACCGCCACTCCACGATAACAAGGGGAAACATCAACACGAATGTTCCCCGTCATTAATGTCAGCAGAGATAGTATCCACAGCTGTAGAGTATCTTGCCAATCACAGACAAGATCCTCTACAGTTCTTTAAATTGGTTAAATGCAGAATGTAATGGCGCAACTCCATCCGACTTCAATTTGCTCTGTGTTGACCGAAGACACCGCCACAAAGAGAATCTGCTGCTGCTGCTGCTGCTGAGTATAAATCCCATTTGGCCACAAGCGTAGCCTTGGGTGCACGTTACCGTCAACTGGAGATGCAACGGTGCGTTGATTCATCGATGAGTATTGATTCTTAAGCTCGTGATACACGCACTGAATCACGTGCCTGACAATCCACTGCGCGTCGATTCGCGAGCATCGTTCACAATGTGTTAGCACGATTACAAATCGATAACAAATCGGTAACCCTGATCGCAACAATTCACTGAGCATCGCACCGTAGGCAGGAGGAGTGGCTTTGTGCTTGTTGGTTACCGGTAGCATATTGCAGAGGCATTTCTCTTGTGAATAATCATCTGTAACATTTCCCCTACGGTGATTCCTGTTGTGTGCAAAGCCACACAGATACCAGGCACGCTTGCAATGACTCTTGCTCGTGATGTCTGCTTGACAATGAGTGACATATCAGCGCGGACGTGAGCAATTCTACTGCGTATGGTTTTCGTAAAATCATTACAGAGCATTGAAATATCATTCTCTGCCTTTGCACTGTAGTCAATCATTGGCCAGTGCTTGTGAAAACAACGTTCTGCTGATTCATCAGTGCCGTCTAAACGCAGAGTAATGCGTTGGCGCCATTGCTTCACTCCACAGCCCTTTTAATTAAAGGACTCATTACCTCCTCAAACTCCCTTGGAAGGCCCCCGACATCTCCCTCGCCGCCACCAGCAGCGGCGAGATTTACTGATCTGCCCCAATGTCCTCGTCTCCTTCCCACCCATCCAACGGGAACGCTGTTAAAGTTTAACTGAGCCTGGGTTCTCCCATTCACAGCGAGCCTCTTGCTTTATGTTGGCTGCCTGACCTTAGGTAATGCATCAATGGTGCTAACTATGGGACAGTCGTGGGGTTTAAAAAAAATAAAGATCCAGTTTAGGTCACTCCAGTTCAAAGGGTGTAATTCATTTAATCCTTGGCTTAATTGCTCAAATTTATTCGTTAAATATTGTTCAATGAATAATACGAATGGAAAGTAAAAGCCAGTTCGTGTTCCGCAAATATATTTTAAAGAAGAAAATACTGACAAAAGTAACAGCCGTGCTCCAGTGTGTGTGTGCGTGTTAAGTAAAGAATGCAGTGAGTAACCCCCTGAGTATGCGGCTGACAGAGCTGTGGTTTTCTCCGCTGCGCGTCTCACTCGGCACGCAAACCGCCCGCTCCCTCTAAGCCCTCGCTGACTTC